CCGTTTCTCCTCTCATCGTCATATCAAGTGACAGAGGGCACCTGTGACGAGGATGCGTTTGTTGTTTGTTTACAAAACAAGGATTAACTTTTATCTCTCCCGTTTGCTAGGGGTATTGATATGAGATGTGTGTAATGCTTCCACGGCAGGAATGATCAAACTTTCAATCTCAATCTCAGGTTCCCCATCAGGTAACTCATTTGGATCAAGAGGCTCGTCGCCAACCTCCCCTCCCCTCGCTGCAGCACCTACTAGATCTTCAACCCCACTGATTGTCCTCTTTCTCTTGCTCCTGGGAACTCTGATCCATTGATCTTTGCTACCGGGAGCTACGAAAACAACTTCCCATTTTCTAGTAGCTAGTAAATTTCCAATAACCAAATGATGCTGGTAGCGGTCCAGAGAGTATTTTGCCTTGTGAACCAAAATTGTGGGATCAGTTTCAAGCTTGAAAGAAACAATCATGCCTTCCGGAGCCCAGCCATCCACAAGATTTTTGAGGAACTTAGGTACAGGATCCAAATCGACGATTAGACGCTTGCTCCGTGGCACCGCTGGAGAAGAATCGAAATTATCAAAAGCTTCCTCGTCTTCTCCACTCCCCCTCTCTTCACTTCCTTTTTGAGGTGTATTTGTATCCGTTGCATTTGTAGATTGTATTTTGTGTTCCGCCATACGTTGTGGAGGCACGAAGAAATCCGACACAGCGGCAGCCAAATATAATAAACCGCGAGGACCTAATGGGCGCATAAGTTGCGCGATCTCTCGAAGTATGAACAGGTAATCTGTAATTGTCGTAAACGGTAACGTCAAAAGTAGATTCTTCGACTTGGCCGCATTGTATTGTCTAAGAACCTTCAACATCTTCTCGCGGTATTCATCGTTTGCGACCACACTTCCATCGGGACCTTCGTGAAGGAAATCGAGGAAACAATCCGTAGCATGACTATAATGACGCGAATATGGTTGAAGACTGAATTGACGATGGAGAAAGATCACTGCGTAGCCTGATTCCAGGAAATATTCAGCAGAAGTAGCCCCACGCGTCCCTGCACTAAAATTGTCTATAAATCGCACCGTCTGTCGCTCTAATGGGACAGTTGTTCCTCCTGATGTGACCAATACCACACGCCTGCCAGCAGCTGCGTGGAAATTGATGAATTCTTCTGCAAGAGAGGTATGCTTTTCAAGGGTCGCTGGTGGAGGATTTTCCGAAAAGTAATCCCGTTCCGCCATTTCCGCGGTGTTGTCTCGTGCCAAGCCTGGCATTGAGCTAGATGTCGACATGGTATCTTGTGAGCTAGAGGAAAAGATTGAAGAGGTCGGTGATGAAGGTCGCGGACTTGAGAGGTTGAAGGAAAGTGTGAAGGTCGAGCTTGATGGTGGGGTTGATATCAATTTTGGGGATGCTGTTGCGGGGTTCGCGAGCCCCTGTTCAAAAGCATCTCGAGTGGGCGTGGTAAGCTGCGACGACATTTTATCAGTATTCTATGAACTACTCATAAACTTCTTGAATGCGGACCAGCGACTTACCTTTACAATACTGACTTATAAGACAATTGAAACTCCGGCTTTCCTCTTGACCTCGGTCGACGGTTGTAACGGAGGTCTGTTTTGGTAATTCGGGCGTCCGGATAGAGGACCCATGTGGGAGCGTTACCTTTTTGTTTCGTAAGAAGATCGATCATCCCTACATTTTACGATACTAGTTTTAAGAGCCAAAGAGCCAACTTTCTATAATCTATGAATTCTGGAAAGCTGACGATACCGACGTCGTACGCAACTTTGGCGTTGGTGGAGATTCGTGTGGATAAAGCTGTGATTGTTCTCGGACTTTGGATATTCAAAGGTCGGTCTAAAGTCTATGAACACAACGTCTCATGTATTTATATGTCGATGTGAGAAATTGATACAACTCATGGCACAAGAGAGTTTCTTCAAGGAGTTCAGGTCCTTCCTACTCAGCTCCGGCTGACAAGCGGGTCTAGGATGATCAAAATAGCTGTGTAGATATCATTCTAGGTGGCCAGTAGCACACTCCATTGTGTGACAAGTAGCTTCAAATCTAATATCATCAGAGAGACCCTCTGGCCGACTATCCAAGGTATTCATTATGTGGACGTAGATGTAGCATCGCTATCAATAAGTTCATTTCTATTTTCATGCTTGCATAGCTATTCGTAGATACCATTCTCGCTGCCGCCTTTCATTCCTCTCATTGTCAATCAAAAATACATGTCTATTCTACAACTTTTACGTATAATGGCATTTCTTGCCGCCCGTTTTATCTTGCCGCCAGTCAGTTGCTGCCTTCGCTGATTCTCCAAGCTCTTAATGGTAGAGCTTGTAGTTTCAGAGCTGCTGGTTTGATGTATCCCCAGAATGTAACAGCTCCAAAAATGATACAAATAATATTCACAACATAGTATCCATCTCTCTCGATGTCACAAATGCCCCCTCCAGACAAACATCGATCTTTCTCGGCAGCCAAAGCGCAGGAGAAGGTAGATGTGATGAGAGGCCCCTTAAGATCAGCAGCAAGTTTATAATCGGATCCCGGTGGAATGCATGTTGCAGTTGTGAAGTAATCGACAAGCTTAAGGACGAAGAATCGAGGGAATGTACCGCCCAAGTTGGAAACGCTGTTTGGCATTAGTGAAAGTGAAAATTTTAGTTGAGAATAGGGGTGCTTACGTAGCGAGCAATGTCATGTAAGTTCCACCAATGACGGGATCCGCGATCCTGGCATGGAAAGCTGAGATGGCGACAAACATAACAGTATTGGTAAATGTCGAGAAAATATGTTCCGCAATAACGACAAGTAGATACCAAGTATCGACTCCGTTAGCGGGAAAGATAATAACCGTGATTTGAGCAATGACAGCAGCAATCAAACGACCGACAAACCCCCAACACCACAGGCGTAAAGGTGTGTAGGATGTCGACCATTTTCCGGCGTAGTATCCCAGCCCAATCTCGAAAGGGAAATCAATAAGAACTGTCAAAGCCATATCCTCTTGACTGAATCCTTTGTCTATGAGTTTGAGATTTGTAACTCCATCATTAGCCTGGAAACCAATCTTCGCAATCAAGTGGATAATGATGATGGTTTGGATATTTTTGAGCTTGAGAACTCCCCACATAACCTTGTAAACATCCCAGATTCCATCCTCGTTCTTGGTTTTCTCTTCACGCTTCAAAAGCGCGAGGCCAAGAGTAACAATTATGTATGTCCAACCCCAGAATGTAAGGTATCCTCCTAAAGTCATAACTCCTTCGTCAAGGGGAGTCTTTCGAAACCATTTGTTGGCGAAATCTGGGGCATTGAAAGCTAGGAAAACTGTGAAGGACATGAATTGCCCAGCTGTCAATCCTACAGTCTGGGCGGTCGATGCATATGAAATATTTCCCGGTGACAACAAGGTTAGAGCCCATCCATCAACTGCGATGTCTTGTGTGGCGCACGTAAATACCAAAAAGAACCACCATCCAGTGAAACCCCAAATTCCTGCTCCATCATTTGCTCCAGCTGTGATCATCATATCCTTAATCTGAGAACCTAGCCATATCATTCCTAATCCTGATAGCATTTGAATTGGCATGATCCAACTCTTTCTTCTTCCTACTCTGGGACTCCATATCGCATCCACTATTGGACTCCAGAGGAGCTTCAAAGAGTAGGGATATGAAGCTAAGCTGAAAACTCCCAAAGCGCTGTACGACATATGTGGTTTGAGTAGAAAAGGTACCGAGCCGGTCGCGAGACCCATTGGAACACCCTGCAAGAAGTACAATAAGACTAGAAGAAGAAAGTTCCGTTTGTCCTGCATTGGCAATTCGGAAAAGCCATGGTTGTTGAGGGTAGGAGTCTTCGGTATAGGATCATCTAACGTAAAAGACTCGCGCGACATGAGATTCGCAGTCACTCCAGGAGAGTCGGGGTTCGCATTTTTGCGCCGGTACTCGACGTTGCCATTCATACTGCCCTTTTGTGATTGAGAGTCTTCACCTCTTGTAGCAGAGGAAGAGCCAAGTGGCTCTGGAACTTTGCCTTTACGAGAGCGAGTACCCATAGAATCCGTTTCAATAACCTCCTCCTCGTCTTCGTCTGTCGAATCTTGATCCCCGAGTAAATGTTTCGAGTCTTCTGCCTGTGTTGCGCCGTGCAGATTCAAATTCAAATTCGGTTTAGATTTAGATTTGGAAGAGGAAATGATTCTGTGGCGTGAAGTAGCTGTTGATAAGTCGTCTAGTTCTTGCGCGTAGGGAAACTCAGGATCGTGATGTGAAGGTAGATGAGTATGGCGTGGATTATCTGAAGTAGATTGAGAAGTTAATGAAGGAATTGTATCACCCAAAGGAGTCGGCATCCATATAGTATCTTGAATTGAGAATTCTCCAGAGGTCTTGTTGGCCTCTAAAGTGTCCTCTTTTAAATTTACTCGAAGCTTTAGTTTCCTTAGTGGTAGTTTGTACGAGATAGTGGATTGATTAATTGATTAATTGGTTTGGTTTGATTTGATTACTCAAAACCCCATTCCTGCGGCGAAAGAAGCAAAGACACAGGCTGTAAGGCTCGTTTCTCCAGGGTACGAGAGTGCGAGGCTGCTTCTGAAACGAAATGTGGCTTCTTCGGCGAACAACGCCGATGAGGGACTGAGGACTGAGGAACTGTACAAAGGTTTCGAAATGTCAAAGAGTTGAGTTGCATTGGAACGAAGGAGAGGAGGGAGTGAAAGGAACGTCTACCAATAGATATATAGATATAATATATACTTACTTTTCAATGGAGTCTACCTACCTAGTAGTATCCATCTACTCTTGAACAGCTTATTACTACCTGAATAGATACCTAGTATGTCTAATCAGAACCATCCCTAGGGATTCGAAACAGAAGTCTGGGCTGTACTTTCCCCCACGAAACACGTGAAATGGCGATGAAAGGACATGCGACGCGACACACATGAAAATCAACATAAACATCACCATCAAAACATCAACAAAGATATCGAGCACAGAGTGGGAAAAGTAACATATTTCCGACAACTTAACCTACGTATTGATACTTCCACCACATACAATGGAAAGTTCACGCTCTTCCCCACAATCCGTGGACTTCAATTCGAATTCAAACATGGACATAACAGAAGAAATTATTAGTCCTCAAGACGCGGCTGGCATAGAATTAGATAATGAAATAGCTTCACTACAGGAACAAAGTGAATTACATTGCCCCATTTCAATTCTACCATGATAGAAAGCTGATCAATTTATAGTCGCATCATTGAAAGATCAACGTAGCCTTCAAACGGCCACTATCCTTTCTTCTCAAGCTTCGAAGTCCATCTTGTCGAATTTACGAAAGTCTTACTCCAAAACGAAATCCACCCAATTTACTACTCCTACAGACTCCGATCCACTTCTTGCGACTTCGGCGGCTCAAACAACCCATAATCTCGAGAATCTATATCGCGCATGCGCATCAATTACATCCTTCCAAATTCAAGATCCAGACCCGAATGCCGTAGACAATGGGCATATATTAGGAATTCGAATTGAAGCCAGCAGCTCGGGGAAGTTTGTTCGCCCTTATTATGTCATGTTAAATAAGCCATATTCTGGATCAGCAGCACTAAGAATACATCGGCATACAGTGCCTCCATGTATCCCTTTGTCTAGCCTGGCCGCAAAATATTTGCCTGCTCCTAAAGTCGCTGAGGGTATCGTCAAAGAGAAACGACAAGATTTGACTGCGTTTGTACGGAAATTACGACGAGAGATTACAGGTTATCATTTGCGTGTGGCATCCATCAAGCATTTACGAAAGAGGTTCTCTTTAGATGAGAAACTAAGCAGGAAAGGAAAAGAAAAGGAGCGAGAGATCGCAGATATCAGTGCTGCTGATGCAGAAGCAAAGCAAGTGAGGATTGAGTGGATAGATGGCAAGGTCGGTAGATGCGTTGTAGGAATGAATGGGGAAGTCGTCAAATGTGTCATCATCGGAGAGGATGGGCGTGACCGTGAGACGGAAAGAAGGGTATTGGGCGGCGATAAAAGAATGGAGGGAATCGCTGACAGATTGATGGAAGGTATATATTAAGAGCTTCGATTTGGGCTTGGGGAATTGAGGAGTTTATTGCTTGTTGTTTACAAATACCCCCGGGACTCAAACGGCGCTGCACCACGGCATTCATCAATTTTCACTACAGCTGCTTCTTTTCAACCAAGATCAAATGTGATCAATCGTATTGAATGAAGAGCATATTACTGAGCTGGAACGTAAGGCATTGACCGAGTGACAGGGAAACGGACTCGAAGGCTAGTCTACTCATTCCAGGCACCGTATACCATGAAGGCAACTCGGTGGAATATAAGGGGTCATAATAGAGATTCTGGAAGGCGCTCCGTAGAACACTTTCAGCGAAGCTTCTGCTGGCTCAACTTCAATAAATCGACTATTATTGATATAAGCCAGACTTTAACTTTGCGGATGGGCACATAGTTGTATATGACTTATAGCAACTAAATGTTATTTTCGCTAAATGTTGAGACAGCAGGCATTCAGCTACACACGCGCGCCCACGGCTGATCGACACTCATCAATAAGAACACCATCACACGCATTAAGCTGTCAGTACATCCTCCTTCTTCACCTGAGTTTCAGATCCTATAGGCTGTAGGCCGGAGGACAATCTGGGGTCGACGGATGAAATAGAAAGTGTATCACGTGATTATCTCTGTACTGATCCAATAACTTAAGCCTGAACTCCACAAACTATTCCATATTGGTACTTGACCTATCAGGTTTCCCATCAACGCCACCTTTGGCTTTTATTCTGAAACACTCGCTACTGTATATGGTTCATTTCTAAGTCTTCACTCTCATCCTGTGATGCGCGCGGGTAAAATGTACTGGATGTGCTCCACTTTCCGTCTAATTCCTTCTATTTTCGACAGGGAAGAGACCTTAAAGAGGCCCGAGCTCTAGATAGCTCACTTCTGCGGCAAGGTTAATTCAAAGAAAAGCCAAAATTCTACTACACATCGTGCCCTGGGATCCTACGTACAAAGCTCACCTCGAACTCGACCATTCGTATGTTACAACCATTGGGAACTCTTCATTCAACTCCAGACCCATTCCATCAATGAGTTGCCTCGAATTCTCCACTCAAGTGAGTAAAGATTCAAGCTCCAAGTTCACGCTTGTTTGATTGCGAGGAGGATAGGGACGATGAAATGTAATCAGCCTTATCTATTATGAATCCTGTTGGTAAGGAAATCTGCCGGCAGGCCTTCCATAAGACATTGCCTCCAACAATCAAGGCATTATTTGTATCGGCCTTGTCTATCTGATCATGTATATCATACTTCCATTCTCCACTCTTGTAATAATGACAGGAACAAACCCATCACTACGCGCCGTTTGAATGGATTCTGGTCCACGACCTCGGTATAATCTATGATCGCAGTTCTAAGTAGCTCTTCGCGCGTATGAAATTGGTTCATACAATTTAATGGCTTTGGAACCTTGAATCGTTCTTTTCTTTCTTTTGTCTTTTCTCACTGCTTAGAATTTGGCCGTCACTTTCTCTACATATATTTCACTCCTATACACGGCCGTCTTGAAGGCCATTTCTCAACATGGATACAACAACTTCTACTTCAACGTCAATCACATCAGCAGCCGATAGTACAATGCAAACAAGTGCGATAGAAACCACTGCATCGAACACGCAATCTACAACTTCATCGCGATCCGACTCCAGCCAACATGCAACAACAGACTACTCCTCTCTCAACATTGCTATCGGAGTCGGTATAGGAGTCGGTATCGCATTGGTTCTTCTAATTGTTGCTTGTGTCCCCGTATTCAAATGGTGGAAACGACGCCGACAGGCTGCTCATGGACAATTTCAATATAATCATCAAGCGCCAGCACGTCAGTTTCAAACCCAATATAAGAATCAATTTCAGGTGTATCATCAGCCATCACGTGATATACAAGCTCCTTACTTTTATCCAGAGGCCGCTGGCACGAATCGAACTTCTACGATCGGGTGTCCGCCGGGCTTTCATCTAGGAACGGCAGATGGTACTTTTCAAACTCCAGCTAATAGACTACCGAATTCGTATCCAGAGAGCGCCGATAGTGCTTATCGAAACTCTTCGAATCGATATACCCCGAACAATTTTCCAGAAGCATTTGGAGTGAATCAAGTTTCTGCAAACAGATTTCCGCCAAACTATTTTTCGGGGGCAATTGGAGCGGATCAGAATTCTGCGAATATACTTCCGCCAACTCACTCTCTGGAGGCAAATGGAGTGAATCAGAATTCTGCGGACAGAGGTCCTTCCACCCTCTATCCAGAGAGCGTCGAAAGAGCCTATCGAAGTCCTGTGAATAGACGTACGGCTGTGTTTGAAATGAGTGATAAGAGACAGACGGATTCGTGGGTTAAAGAGATGATGATAGCTAATCAGGAAGAATTATGGATGGAATCGCCCATACGGTAGGATAAATGAGGACATGTTTCGTTCTACCGGAGATGAAAAGGTGAGTTGGAATAGATTGCTGTTGTATATATCATATTTCTTTTGTCTTTACTTTTGTGGAATTGTAATGCATGCATTTAGCGATAGGTTGGGGAGTTGGGATGTTTATTCGCGAAAGTGGAAAATGTTTGTTGGAAAGAAGGGATTAGATGAATGTGATAAGATACCCAGGGATATTGAAAGATATTAGAATACAATCAATTACAAACCTTCTACAAGCCCCCTTCTTTGCTTTGTTGCTACGCGTGCTTCCAATTTTTCAGTCGAAGAGTAATTTGAAGGGCACGTTAGTGGTGTTGTATTCATATTTGCAGACTGTCGACGGATGGAGACGCAACTCTTTCATTTGAAACCCATCATGTGAAAGAGCAATTAAGTAAACTCTACAGTATGCTTTCTAGTTCACTCTCATATCCAAAGCGCTACCTGCGTTTTCAAACTCCTACTTAAATCTCCTCAAGATATACATATCTCCCGCTCTCAACCCCAATCCCAATCCCAATCCCATGAATGAACTCGACTCGACTAGAAAACCAATACGATATGATGGGATACATTCTTCTCGGTTTGATTACCTATATAGACTCTTTTTTTGTAATATCGATACAAAATATAGTATGCAGTGAGTACATATACATAATACAATTCATCCCAGATTTTAAAAGGAGGATTTGAGAGATTCTTTGTTATATGGGTTTGAGTGTGTGAGTGATATTATGTTTTACTGGGTGGGGAGTTCTGAGTAGAGAGGGATGTTTGGAGATGGATGGATGGAGGGGGATGGTTTTGGGTAGGGAGTTGTGTAGGGGGGTTTTGTAGGAGGATTAGATTGGTGATTGGGGGGAGAAGGGGAGAGAGAGAGTTTTTGTTTGATTGTTTGGTTGGGTTTTGATAGGGATGAGGGTGAGTATAAGTATGAGTATTGAGAGAAATCTATACAACATAATCTTATATAATCTGTACGTATTCCTTTTATTTTATTTTATTTTATTTTATTTTATTTTATTTTATTTTATTTTATTTTATTTTATTTTATTTTATTTTATTTTATTTTATTTTATTCCCTTAGTACCTCTTATGTATATCTTTTTCTAGCTCAAGATTCAAGGCTCAAAATATCATTATATCACATTATATCACATTCTACCCCAAAAAGAGAAAATCACATCCTAGAAACCCATAACCAATAAATTATATCTATGATATCGCCGACCGAGATAAAAAGGATGAGATGGGATGGTAGAACTCACCGTAGCTAGGTACTAGATAGTAGATCATCGAGCTCACAAATCGACATCGGGAACTTGGAAGTAGGTAAGTAGGAAAGTTTAGTAGGTAAATGAAGTATAGTATAGGATAGATTATCAGATTCTATATTTTACACATTACGTATATCAATCATCTAGATTTCTAGCTAGCTAGGCAGGTACATATATTCAAGATGTTATGTTATTTGTGTGTATCTATCTATCTATCTATCTGATAGGTTAGTTTGCATGGAGATCTGTTTGTGTGGGTTTGTATGTATGTATATATGGTATGATGAATAAGGACCTTGCTGATTTGCTTGTGTGCGTGCTTGCGTGCTAACCATTTCAACATCTTGATCTGTTCCCTCACGCGGATTTCATACACGTATATATGCAAGTGTAGCACTCTTTGAATAAATAAGTAAGTAAGTATGAATGAATTAATATCTAGTCGGATGATTTTTATTTCCGAAGCGTAGCCCGCAAGTGAACATGGGCGATATTGGTTGCTGGGAGGTGAGGAGGAAGAGCGGGTTTCGGTTTCGGTTTGTATGGATGGATGGGTGGATGGATGGATGGATTTGCGGGAGATGTCTTGCATATATCGCAAACGTGTTTATTTTTGTGTTGTATGTGTGTATGTGTGTATGTGTACATATATCTGGAGAATAGAGTTCATGGATGATGCGTGGATGGATGGTGGGAGGGTTTGCAATGATTGATCAGCGATGAAAGAATGAGTCAACGAACGAATGGATAGATGAATGAATACATAGATGGATAGGGTAGAGATTACGCAGTGATAGGATGTACGGAGTGTGTTTTGTGAGTACATTATTGTGTACGTAGACACAGTGCTTGCTCGGCAGTGAAAGTTTGTGTGTTTTTAAGAACAGTACGATATGTTCGTTTGGGTGTACATATAGATGTCTGTCCTATGATCCGGGAGCCATTAGGATAGTAGTAGCTAGAGATAATAGATATTGGTAAGTATGATGGAAGCCGGATGGGGAGGTTAAGAAACTAACGAGTTTACGTGGTAGACATGGCACAATAGTACCGCGTTCTCAAGCATGCGAGAAACGAGGTTGCAGAATAAGAAAAAACCAATGGAAAACTATCAAATCTAGTATCACAATCTATTAAGTCATGAACCACTCATCGCGCACGAAGCAAAGTAACACACGCTCTAGAAAATCCGTCCCACATTTCCTTACACAACATGAGTGAATGAACTCCATATTATGGATACGACACTGCCAATAGGCGAGTGCGAATATGCATAGGAGATACGGGCATTGGCGATGCTATTTTGGGAGGGTTGATTTGGGTAGGGCTAGCGGTGGAGATATGTGGTGTTATGATGTGGTGCGATGTGGGGTTTGTGGAGGAAAGGAAAAGAGAGGAAAGAAGATGGAGAGAAGGAAAGAAGATAAGTGTGTGCTCGGGTAAGTGCATTGGTGGTTGGGTGGTGAGAGGGTTAGTGTGATGGAAGTTTAAGCGTGCGATTGAGTGAAGGGGGTTGGAGAAGATGGGTTCTAAGTATTGATGAATCTGGCGTTTCATATGTTCATGGAGGATAATCTGTGGGATATATGGACATCAAGTCTACGATGATTGAAGAACGCTTTGCCAGAATAACTACTCAAGAATGAATGATAGAGTGACCATTCACCTCTCCCCTGCTCCCATCACATGATCCGAAAAATATCAGCGAGCCGGTACCGGGTGTTACTGTAACTCACTCCACGCCGCTCCTTCCATCTCGTCATCGATCTCCACTGAAAGAAGGCAGAATTAAACTTCTACCCGCATGCACAAGGTAATTCGAGGCATTCTAGAGCCTTTTTATAACACTGTTGTAGCACAGCATAGTGTCTTCGCGAATGCGATTGCGGATGCCAAGTTGAATTCAATAATTGAGCAAGTTGAACAAGACGCAAGATTGAACGCTTCACCGGTCAGATATATACATAGCCAAGACTATAGCCAAAATAAGCAATCACATAAATGTCAATTGGTGTCATTAAGACTATCAGTGTTAACTACAATGAAAACATAAAGACTGGAAATCAATTCATCTAACCATTTTGCGTACACCGAGTAGCAAACACCAGGCTACCGCATAGTAAAACAACCAGCCCGCTTGTTCATTCCATTACCGTCAAGATAATCGATTGAGCAATGAGCAAGGGGAAAGAATGACAAAAGGAAAGACAAGCAAACAGGCAACCACCCATCCCAAATTTCTTGCGATCGCAATTCTCACAAAAGCCACCCCTCTTGCCGGAAACACACATAGACTTGGACACCACGAACACCTCCGGAACAAACCAATCAACCAACCAACCCTATCCCCATCCATCCATACCCTTACACCACCACACCAATTAGAGAAGAGCCAGAAATACATGAAAAGTAAAGCGAACAGATTGCAAACCAGAGTATCAGGTAGACAAAAACTGAAGCTGAAGACAAAAAGGGGCAAGCCAAATGAAACTTGTAAGAGAAGATAGACCGGTCTAGAACAAAATGGATACGAAGAGCAAAAATCGTTTTGAAACAAGATTGTGGTACAGGACAGTTTTTTTGGTATTGTTTGTTAGAATGTCGTGTGCGTGCCGATGTCGGTAAAGCTCTTGGAGGTGGAATGTCGCTGTCAGCCTAGGTGCCGGCAGTTTGCATTAAAGGTCTCGCCAATTTGCGACTTAGAGAGCGGTAGCCAATCTATTCTGATTTCATGAGGTTTGATGGTGCAAAAAGGAGTGGTACAGAATACCTAACCGCAGTAATCGGTATCGGTAAAGCAATGCGAAATGAGCAATGAAATTCGTAAATGTGCGAAAAAAGATGAAATTGAAAAGTCGGAGAAGTCGTAGTCGTATCAGTGCAGTTATCTGTATCAAGTAGTCGCCATCGTAGACTCGTCGCCAACAACCGTTGTTGACCATAAGGGGATTCGGTTATGAATTTCCGTGGTGTTCGAGAAAGGGGAACAATGTAAAGAAATGGATGTCTGTGGTTGGCCAATAGTAACAAATAGGCAAGCTTATGGTGTCGCTGCATGGATTTCATGCAGGTGGCCACATTCTCGTCATATTTGATTTCTGGGGGCAAATCGTAACACGGGAACAGAATAGATTTGAGACATTTTCGGATCCTATCACCCAGGTTGTCAGTGGCTGTCATTAATAACTTTTTTTTGATATCAAACGACCAGGCATAGAAAGCATCCTTCACCGCGCTCAACATCTTCCACAAATTCAATTGATATTTGGTAACAATTTATCTTGTGATGTGATAGAGATGACACAATCTTATCCTGCCACATGGCAAAAACTAGAGGAAAACGGGGAAAACGAGGCAAACCAGGAAAACTCACCAAAGGATCAATTTCCAACTGCTTCCCCCACACCCCACCAAGAGCCATAGTAAGATTCCTTGAGAAAGTTCCAGACAGCGACGAGATTCTCAATGCGGTAGCAGTATGTGAGACAAGGTTATGCCTTCATTGAGCAATTACGACAGGTCTTGAGTTTGCAATATTTACACTCGTAGATGAACCAATGAGGTCCAGAATGACACATCGAGCAAATCCACTGGATGAGTGTAGATTCTGACTTGAGAACATTGAAAGAATGACTGCAATATGTGGGAACAGCCATTGCGTTAAGTGTGTGTCGAGCTTTGGTTATGGATTTTAAGAAATTCTATGACTGAAAAAGATATCAGTATTGATCTGCAACGACAGTTCAAAGAATAGAGCTGTGATAATGGAAGCCATACATACTGATTGGGTGCGGAGAATCTGTTGAAGTAGCAAAGACAAGAAGTGAAGAAGGTTGGAAGAAGTTTTCCAATTGGAGAACTGAGGCTTGTTGTTGAAGTTGATATTCAAGAAGTAGGGCGGAGAGCAGATAGAAACTGTGAAGGAAAGTTAGAAACCAGACAAGGACTTCGATTGAACTCTCAAAGATGGAAAATATTCACCAGATCAAATTCTAACCGGAGCAAAGAATTGTGAAAGTGAACTCCAACTTTCGAAGTCAATGTATTGATGAAATTCCGAACTTCTTGTGTGTTTAATTTCCCAAGCGAAGATGTGTGATAGTGAATAGTGTGCAAAGAATTGTTATTGCAGTATTGAATATGAAGGAATATCCAAAAAAACAAAAGTCCTCTCCAAATGAGCGGTCACGGCGAGCCTTTTTATATAGTGAATAGTATGAGAGAAAATAACCAAGGGTACTTTGATAGATGCAAGATGAAATCGATAGAGTTTTCTCTTGTGTTCTCGGATTGGCGTTTTCCTCTTAGTGTATCGTTCAAAAGATGAATTGAATGGATGAAATTGTAGCCAGCAAAGTAGATGGTTTGTTTAAGAAGTATATATGAGATATTTTTGTGAAGGGGAAAAGTATAAGTTGATTCGGATGAATGATGTTGAACGTATAATGAGGCTGCTGTGGGTATGAAGTGGGTTTCCAAGCGAGAAAGCTGAGAGTATGTTTGATGATATTGAAGAGGAACCTATGGTATTGGTGATAAGTAGTTCCAAGGCGGGTTCTATCCCAGATAGTCGTATAGATTCGATAAAGTTTGCTGAGTTTGCTTGCTTTGTTGGTTTGATTGCTGTCCTTTTTTAGTTTCTTGGAAATGATGTCCTGGAAAAAGATGTACCGGTAAGTATTGCAACCATAGGAATTGCAACAAGCAAGTCGGAAGTACACTTGTAATGTAGCAGGGCGAAAGGACAATTGCATGTGTTGGTAACGGCTCGGTATATCGTTATGGATGGAGGAGATTTTTAGCTAGTTTGCTAATCTGCTAGTCTCCTAGTTTTGTGGCCGTCAACAGGAGAAGGGACCAGCAAAGAGTTGTAACCAAAGCAGACAAGGGGGGTAAGTCTTGCGGTAGTAAAACGTCAAAAGAAGGAAGTCGAAGTTTACTAGGTAGTTATCGGCCAAGAAATCATATCCGCCTGTCTTTCTGTCTGAAGAAGCAACACTCCGTAGATGAGTTACTGGTAGATGATGCCCACTTAACTAGCTAGCAAGCCATCAGCATTGAAGTTTTTCGGTCCCGGCCCATCTACATCTGTCTGTTGTATATGATCTGTACCGGACACTGGAAAGAAAAGGTTAAGGGATCCTTGAAGAAGAGCAGGGTGTGCGAACGAACGTGCAAATCGCAAATTGCAAAGATACAAGTGTGGGTTCAAACCTTAAATACACGATGAGTTACCTGAAAGGTTCTAGCATATGGGTCCATAGGTTCGAGAAAATGTGCTTAGTGGGGGGGTTTTAGGAGAATCTACCGTTGGGCTGAAAGGTATGTGAGAGGAACCATATTGAACCAGGGGAAAGGTTCACGATGAAGAATACTGGGGACTCTCGAATTTACGGTAAATGTGGGTTGAATCTGTATGATATGGTGGCATATCTACAGCTGACCCAAATGCACTTTCCTTCCTATTAGGTTTACTATGAGGGATCACATCGAAATCCTTAAACAGGTAGCACCCGTATATAATATACTGTGTTAATGTGACATTTTTAACAAGAAAAGGTGTAATCAGACAGATGCATCACGATACGATGGTACAATGATAAATCGGGTAAGGTATACTATAGCTCACTTTGATATATTTCATCTGACGCCTCACTGAAAATAAACGTTCGGAAGAGGTTTGACATCTAGCCGGGGAAATCCTTTTGGGAGGCCCGAGGTACAAATTCAAGATATTTGCCTTTTCGCGGAAGACGGAATGTGTTTGATTAGTCTCCGTCAAGCAGTGTAGAAGAATGCCAATGTTTGTTATATCATGCTTAGACATCGAGAGGTGGACATGGAGAGAGTTGAGGTACCTGGGCACATGAGATTGAATGGCTGTGTAGTCAGTCGCCTTGGGATAAAAAAAGCGAGCGAGATACAATGATAAACGACGGGGACATAGCCAACCAACCTATCAATGGTTCCTGGACCTGAAGGATGGGATTTAGATGAAAGTAGAAAATGGTTAAAGAGTCATTAATTACCATCTCCTGCTTTCTATCCTCACTCCTTCATTCCAAGATTGCCCTCACATTCTCGATTGTGCTAATATCAGGGTATATCGTCCTATCCTGACTAGAAGCATACGAGTACCGGTATGGTGTAAGTTCTTGTAAAGTGGGGTCCGGATCTTTTTCTGACCTGATTTACGGAAGCTTTGCCGCCGTCTTATAAACTATAAATTTGATTATGCGTCTTTTTCGAGGTCGATTTTTAGTGACCGCGGAGGGGAAGGAGGGATCAGAAGTTTGAGTACGCGGTTTGTCAGAGAGTAAAGGACTGTTGTAACGATATCCCGATCTGACTGCCATGCAGACGTGATCATTTGTTGGTTTGGTGAGATAATCCGTCATCATAACCATACAAGTACATGAGAACGGGGGTCTAATAGTAGGGTATGCTGGACCCAAATATCATCAAGTCTGGTAAATATGTAGGTCGTTGAAAGCGGTTATGATAACGCTTAGCTTACCTTGCTGCTTACCTGAATATTACATTACTCCAACCATGATGACCAATTTGAAGTTTTTGACAAAAGAAAACTTAAGGTCACAACAAGCTATATGTTGCACAAGCTAGGCCGGATAATCGCTATGGAAGGACCATGATTCGATCAGGGATGAGAATGGATTAAAAAATATCCCGGAGAGACTTTCCTCGTGGCATTTGTTAGGGATGTCGATTAAAATAACAAGGATTTTTGGGTGGAGGTAAGGATTATCGGAATCTGCATGGTGAAGGGAGTAGATAATTGGTAACCGAGGCCCATTGAGAATATCAAATTTATTTCTAGACACTATATGAGTAATTATCAATGAAGTGGTACGCTAGTGTAACAGCAAAGGAAGGCAACAAAGTGCCAAAAGGAAGATGATCTAGTTCGACTTCCTTGGAATGGAGTCGTCTCTAAATCAATTCCATTCTATACCTGGGAAAGCGTGAGGGCGAATGGGGAAGTGGGAAACGAGTAATCCTCGAAGATGGTGTGTGTGATACAAATTGTAACATGGCAGATGAGATTTCTTGCTATTCCCCTTAGGTGGACTAGGTAGATTAGGTGGTCAGAAGTGAGATCAGGTTGACATTGATTAACAATGACATGTCTAAGCCATCGAGCATCTTGTCCTGGCTCATTTCATTAGAAAGAAGGGGCAGGAGAAGATCGGTAGGGATATTTTCAGGAATGTGACCATGCTAGTTGCCATGATGGGCCGACCCGTTGTGTAGTCATCACGGATCATTGATTGTATGTACGTGTGAACGGCTTCAGAGCGGAACGGCAGGGCTGTAACGGTCTTTTTTTGTCTTTCAGCCATCGTCTTCTTGTAACACAAAGCAAGATTGGCAGGGCAAAAAGCCGCAACGATTTAAGAAGTATTCATTTGGTGAAAGTATACTTAACGAAGGTATCATTAGCGGATAACTTAAATAGCCAACCATACGATCTCCAATTATCCGGAGATTTTTGATAAACTCCATCTCCAGGAAATCACGGGAACAAATGTGACCCCATTATTTTCGTGATTAAAAGCGACGCATGGGGAGTACCCAGTAGGTGCAGTAGAAAGGTCCCAGCACTGAGGAGTCGGTAAAGAAAAATTGTCACCCACATAAGACAGGTGCAGCTTGCTTTGACGATCACTGCATCTGCAGCAGACTGGAAAATGTTTCGGTCAAAGAGTGGTGTTGCAGTGTTTGAATTGATTCAAAATAGATAGATACAGACATAGAACCTGGAGATATGCGTGATGGTCACGAAGAGAGCAAAGGTCATTCGCATCTAACAAGCATATATTAATCTTGGTAGGCAAGATAGACGAGTTAGACTGGCGACTAGGTTTGGATAATGACACTTTAAATTACACGACATCGACTCCCATTAGTTACCATTATATTCTAGCTAATCATATCACACACAACTCATGTTATGCTATTCATGTATTGGGTCAAGTACATGATTCAATCACAACCGACTGGCTTTATTACGCAGATCGCTGTAGCAAAATCCTAAGCAACGAAAGCGTCTCGAGGATTATGCTGCTCCATGCTGTCATACTTCGAGACGGTGAATGCGGAGACTCAACGTGAGATTTTAGAAACGAGGACATGAAAGGGGCAATATGGAGGGTTACTTTGAAGCTTATTATGACTGCCACCTAGAAGCTTGATGATGTATAACACGTACTCGCACGACTCGCTCTCGTAGTGAGACCTGAGTACGAGCACCCGTATTGAAGAGGTGATGTGATGTGATGTGATGATATTCTTTTCCCCTACCTAGTCATTCGAGTAGGAAGTTATTCCTCTGGGCTTATTCCATCTCATCATCTAAGCCATTTCTAATGAAGAAGTACATGAGATAGATTAAGGTCTAACTTAGTCGAAACTCGCAAAATTGTCAAATCAACTTTCTTCTTCCCTTTTCTCATTCTATTCCACTCTTTACGCCCTCTATTCCTATGCAGCATTTTCCCCATAGGATCATTTTAATCACATTCTTTTAAATTTGATTGGGTATCAACCACGCCACCATAATATATCTATCATACACCACAATCGTTGAACCCCCAGCATGTTCCGCTAGGTAATGCATACCAATTCTCAAAGAAGCAACTATTTTCTTACCAAGCACACAAATAAATAAATGCCCGATGCACATCACTTCTTTGGGAAACCGTTGATTTGGCGGTGCTTGTATCAAAGATCCATGTCTTGTACCAAGCCAGGCTATTATCCACACCCACAATTCAATTCGTGCGCATGCATACGATGTATATCAAAATCCAAGATTCAAAATTCACAATTTTATCACTAAAAAGACTCATCCTCCCAAGATATCAATCGCCAAGTCGCATAGATTTTAGGTAAAACTAGGGTAATGGTCTGAAATTGACTGCTAGACTAGAGATACGATGGAAAAGATTACTATTCAAATTCACATTCACATCATGTCTCATGTAATGTGATGAATCGCCAGATCGGTGCGTTGGGTATACATTCATCCTCCTCCCTCTATTACTAATGATTACAACTCATACATACATATACATACATAGCTACCTACGTACATTCATATACATATATATACATACACAGACACAGACACATACACATACACAGACACATACACATACACATACATACATGCATACACACATGCATTGGCAGGTAGGTATATACATACATCTTCCTCTTTCGAAATCCCAATGATAAAGTAGTACTCTCCTCTCGGTACATCTAGTCTATGATTCAATGATTGTTCGTTCAAGTGAACAAATCCATATGATACCTTCCTGTAAGTAGAATGTCACTGCTTCACCATCTTCACCGCTCTCTATATGTCAAGCTTTGCGGCACTTCACATCATAAGATTCAGGGCCACTGTCTCACAATTTTAAATTTCCGACGAGAATAATAACTATTATGACCACATAGCTTCAACATCATCCACTTTCTTGAGGATCTACTTTACTTCCGTTGGGTATACTTTATTTGCTACTTTCGGGTTCCTGAGTAATGAATCAAGCTGCTAACGATTCAGACTTCACCACTTTAATTTCCAGGTAGGTCTTTTCTCTGTGGCCATGCCAGTCAACCCCTCCCGTGTATCAAGTTGTACGAACATGCTGTATGGATATTTTACGAGTGAGCAGCCAGTCACAGAGGAAAAACGAAGTAGATACCAAGATACCATTCATTTCTTGAATCCTGAACCTTTCCATTTTCATCATCTCTGTCGGCACACTCCCGCCCCATCAAATCTTTTCATTGGCTTGCTGTTGCTGTTGCTATCTCGTCATTGTGATTTCCCCACTCCATCCACCCTTCATCTCGCACTCAGATCCATCCGTATCCAACTCATCGAATTCCCCGCGACCGCTTGTTTCACCAACCTTTTGAGCGCTAGTTGTACCACTGTCTCTAATATCTATCAATCTAGCAATCAATCTAACAACCGTTGACCGATCCGCCGTCGGAACCTTCGATTACACACGAAACCACGTTGGAAAATGTTCTAGAAAACAACATGTTGTACGAGACGGTCTCCAGCATTTCGTCTAACTAGCATGCATAATCTCACAATTTTTGACAACCGGCTTCTAGACCTAGAAATCTAGAGAATCCTTCTAATCCGTGAACAAAAACGTGGGGGCCATGTGAAATCAAAATGGAAATTCGGAACCTCTACTAAAAACCACAGACAGTCACCAAAATCACAACACTT